TCTCTCTCCCCCTCTCTCTCTGTCCGGGTCCCTGCCAGTGATGAGGAGACCGGGTGGGTACGACAGGACTGTAGCGGTCCTCGCTCTCCGGAGAGTGAAGCAAAGTATCGCGAGATTTTAGGGGAAACGAGCTACCCACTCTTACAGGCCGACTATGAAAGACCATAAACCTGCTTCCGCCCGTGACTCTGGTTCCCAATGTGAGGTCCGGGGACCTCCAGGCGGACCCACAGAGGGCTCTACTGCCGAATTAGCAATATGCTGTTATAGACAGAAGGGCTATATTTAGGACACTATGAAGCTCATCCCCATCAGGAAGAGGGTGGGGAAGATGAAATGTTATGTATAATACAAAAACAAAAACAAATAATGAGTCAAAATTATGAAATAGATCAAAAATATGACATTTTTAATATACTGAGACAAAATAACATACTTAATCAAGATTATATTAAATCAGGATTATAGTTTACTGAGACAAAATAATCACATACTAAATCCAGATTATGATATACTTGAGCAAGATTATGATAGACTATGACAAAATAGTGCTTCCATAGAGAACTGGGGTAATCTAAAATATATCTTTTAATCATTTATTTGTGAATTTGTGGATTTTAGCATTTTTATATTTACACATATATAGTATTTTATAGCTTTTATCTCAGTATGTTTACATTTGGCAACTTTTGGGCCAAAAAAATAAATAAATAAATAAAGAGGCTTCAACATTATTCCTTATTCCTGATCGACTATATGAATAAATAAAATGTGAAAATTCCAAGTATGCCTAAATAAAACCTTTTTTCAGGTTTCTGGTCAAAGCTGTCTGAAGGAGATATTGCATTGGACTGTGATGCAACTTTAAAGTATTTCTATTTTGCTCCTCAGATCCACCATGAGCTTTACAAATTATTAAAAACACCTTTCAAATTATGTACAGTCCAACACAACAACACCATAAAGTTGAGTCAAAAACACCAACAACAAGGAGATATTTATTTATTTATTGCATGGCTGTGACCTCATCTGAACTCATTCTGTCACTCATAAAAGTCTAAATATGGTATTAGCCATGTTTGAACGAGGGCTCAACAGCAGTCTCTTAATGAGTATTTGTAACATCTGTGAGCTGATGGGAAAATGACGGGGTGGCCGCTGTCTGCACATCAAAAGGACCAAGCAGCTTACCAGGATTCTACCGAGACCACATTGATCATGTTACTATAAACAGTCAGAAGCTTCTGTAAAGGTATTTTGTAGAGTAGAAAGTAAGAAAGAAAGTCTAGATAGGGGCCTTTTGCTTTCGTGACCACTGTAGTTTCTCCTACATGCTTGGAGGTCTGAGCTGTATTCAAATGGTTTTCAGTATTCACCACTAGATGCCACTGAATCCTTCACACTGGTCCTTTAATTGAATTTAAGTCATGGTTCAGATAGTGTGTAATAAAGAAGGAACATTTGGGGAAATATCCTTTCAATTAAGATCCTAACTGATTGATAATATCTTCTATAAATAAGTTGTTAGTTGACTGTTCTGTTCACCTTGACAAACATCTGTACAAAATGTACATAGGACACTATGGAAGATGCAGTAGTCCCAGAGACTGTTTCTGGTCTCCCTAAACCACCGTAGGTACCTCAGTAATTCTAAAATCCTGGCTACTGACTTAATAAGCAGAACAATATACAGCCAGTACTGGGGTGGCACTAGCTCAGTCCATTTAGCTTGGGAATCAGGATGGAGTGCGGACTGGTAGCTGGAGAGATGCCAGTTTACCTTCTGGGAATGGCTGAAGTGCACTTGAAGCAAGGCAGTGAACCTCTAACTGCTCCCAGGGTGCTGCTACATAGCATGGCATCACTCCACCATCTCTCCATATTTGCATAAATCCTAAATGTGTGTGTGATTGTATTTTGGGCCCATGTGTGTAAAGCAATTAGTGTAAAAAGAATCAGGGATCAATAAAGCACAAGCTGGACATTCATCTCACTAAACTGGTTTCTAACTGGTTTCTATAATCACATTTTATAAATAAGTCGTTAGTCGACTGTTCTGTTCACCATGTCAGCAGCACAGTGATTATCTGTGAGATAGTGTGAACGTACATTAGGTCGGGTTAATGAGGTAAAAGATCTCTGCAGACTGCAGTGTCAATACTCAAACTGAGAGTGGAACAACTTTGGTAAAGCCAACCTTCTGGAGAACGCCTTAACAGAAGTATTCAGAAGAGTTTATTTATTCAAGCAAGAGAAATTATACTCTATCTTGATTTCCACACGCAGATTAAATTACTCGTGAGTCACTGTAGGGATGGCTTGATAAATGTATTTAGACTTTCACCTTAATGACAGAGCAGCTACCCAGAATACAGAGAACCTCATATTCTTGGTTACATGAAAATCTTTTAGGACCACAAAATACACAGTAGATATGAAGCAAATATTTATATCTCTGTTGAAAGACTATTAAAATCATCTGAGCAGAAAGAATTGCCTTGTCTGCACATTTCCCCTTCAGTTTATGGCCTCAGTTAAACCTTTATTAAACCTCACATACAGTGACCTCTAGTGGCAGCTGGATATGAGACTGAAACACTGATTCACTTTTAACGGAGAATGCACCAATCTGTTCATGAGATGTGATTTGTTCCAAACAATACAAGTTTATAATCATCCTTAATTCTAAACTGCAGATAAAGGCCGAACAAGTGTGAACGTGTTTATACAAACTAACTGACGGAGGAGGCTGGTTAACATGCAGTATACTCCAAACTGTTGCCATCAACTCTCATACAGCAATTGGTGCTTTGAACTGTCTTTAAAGAATAATGTTTTTCTGCTTATGTAGATGACAAAAGAGATGCATCCGTGATCACACTGATGATTTATCCAACACATGCATCCTGGACCTCCTGTCAATGTAGATGACTTTTCAAATGCTCAACAGATCATTTTTTATTCATGAATTACTTGTGAAAAATGTCCAATCCATTTTCTAGAGGTGACATTACAAAATTGTTTTATCTGAACAGTCCAAAGATATTTCATTTAAAGTGATGTAAAACACAGCAAATGCACATATTTGAGGCTGGAACCTGAGATGGTTTGGCATTGACTAATAAAAGACTTAAAAGATTATCAAAATGGTTGAAGATTCATTTTCTTCTACTATTGGCCAATACCTGTACAGCAACTAGTTCTACAAATGTGATCATGTCTACCAGGTCTGAACACAAGAGATGATTCCCTTTATAATAAAGAAGCAAACACTAAGACACAGCAAGGTAGTATTGTGTTTGTATGTTTATTTAAAGTTAATCCCAATGCGCACCCCCTCCATGTGTGAAAGCCTAGTCTGAAAGGAGGAGGATACAGGCCACTATAGTGCCACATCAGCACATTTATTAACAAGGCTACTTGTTTAGTCACAACACATCCACCCCCCACTGGTATGGCACTCTGCACTGCCCTGTGATGACACACTAGCATGGTGAGGCTAGTTTAAATAACCCCAAGAAGAAAAAAGTCCAATAAGAGACGGGGCTGAGATTAGAGAGTGAGTATCTCCAATTAGTGAATAGAAAAAAAATGAGGCAGTATTACTAAATGTCAAGTTCCACAGAGAAAAAATATGGGGCGGATGATGGTGAGAGACAAAGAGAAAATATTCAATACAAAGTATTCTCTCTTGTCCCCTGATGTGGCCGCTGATCCGCAAGGCGTGCTTTGATGATGTCACTAAAGTTGAATGTTGAGGCTTGTGATCGTGAATCCCCCAAGATTCACAGCGTGGTTGTCGTCCTTCTCCAATCAATGACGCAGTTCCTCTCTCCTCCTTCCACACAAAAACAGATGGACTGGGAGAGAGAGAGAGAGAGAGAGAGAGAGAAAACAATGAGCTAAATACAGATCGAGAAGGTCAGCGTGTATTGTGTTTGTGTCATTGTGGGTTATTTACATAAACAGGAAAAGAGGGAAAAATACACCAAGGGTGGCTGTCAATCTAACAGGCTCAATTATTCACACACAGCAGATGCCAGATGCGACCAATTTTCTTCCCGTGTTGTCTAATAATTGTGTTTTTGTACGAGTACGCAGAACATCTTCCATTCATCAAAATCAGCAGCTGCACAAGGACTGAATGAGTTGTTACACAACAGTGAAAATGCGGCCACTTTCCACTGAATAAGTGGGGGATACAGCCCTTTAACAGGACCTAAAATGTCATTTAGTCAGGACAAACCACTGACTGAACTACACACTGACACAATTGAGTTTTTCCAATACATATTAATTGTGTGTTGGACATATCAAACCGTCTGCATGCCTGTGTGCAAGCGTTTTACCTGCGTAGGGGACTACAGATCTCCAAGGGGAATGATTTCTTCGTTGATAAAAAACTCAATGGTCTCCTCCTCCCAGTCTTCTACGTTGCTGTCCCGCTCATCAGTATCCACTCCTGGAAGAAGGAAACAAATGTCAGCAATTTTTCTTAATTAAAGAGTTACTGTGGAAAAGAGGCAAGTACAGGTACGGTGTAGAAAACAGAGTGCGTCCCACCTCCTCTGAGTTCGAGGCGGAGGTCCTTCTGTTCCAGATAAGTCTGCTGTGCAGTCTCCCTGTAGCGACGGTAGTCTTCCATCATGGACCTGCGCTTGTCCACCAGCTCCTACTCACACACAAAAAAAACACTGAGCTTCATAACAGAGAAAAATGCTTGGGTTTGTAAACATGCAGCGTGTTGTATTGCTTTTATTACTGAAATATGTAAAGATTGAATAAATCATTTGTTTTTTTAAAAATGGTGGAAACTACAATTACACTACAAAAAGCAAACAACTTAAAATGCATTTAGCTTGAGAAAAAAAATGCTTAAAATACACATATACACACTTATTACACTGATTATACTGTATAATTGGTTAATGAGGGAGCTGGAAATACAGACAGGGCTCAAATA